CGTTAAGTGTCCGAAACTATACTATAGTTCTTATTTGCTGTTTTTTTTAATGTGTTCCTATCCCCTCCCCCCTTCAAAAGATTAATCAATAAAAAATATCAAGTTTGTATTATACGACGTAGTCTTTCTCGGAACCCTTAAGATAACAGGAAGTTATTTTATAAAACCGCTTATATATAGTTGTCGAACGCGATAAGCAAAGGAGGACAAACAAATAGTTGATTCAACAGGTAAAAAAAAATTCTTATCATCATTAAGGAGAAAAAGGAATCGTCGGTCGACGGCCTGACGCAACTTTCGAAGTCGTAACGTTTCGTCGTAAGGTCACGTGGTTATCTTGCGGCGCTTTGATACGTCGTAGATGCTATAGATGATGTCATATCCTTCGTGGACTTAGCCGGGGTTCCACTGACCAGACTAGCCGATCGCCAAGCCTCAAGTTTTGCAAACAGTACTCTTAAGGGTTTGGCGTCTGGGATGTCTTCAGAACGTATTTTTTATTATATTATGATTGCATAACAATGCATAACAAACATCTGGGATGGTCATAGACTATGGATCATCAGTGCCAGGGGAAAAAGACATGGATGCTCGCTTATTTCCCCAGAGAGCGCGCCTACATCTGGCTAAGATGATGATAATCCCGGACTTGAGTCAGGGCCTAGAGACGGATAAGGCCAGTCGAATCACGATTTGTATGTCTGTTTCATTTATCTCTTGATGTGTCCCAGGATTAGAAAGAAATACATGAATCAAAATGTTACTCATAATTCAACAAACAAAAGCTATTAATCTCATACTGGAGGTTATATGCAAAATCGTGCTTTAAAGTCCACAGTTAAAAACGATATACCTAACTTCAAGACAGCAGGGCTACCGACAGTAGCTAAACGCACATACACACATGTAAATTAATATTTCTCTTCCTGCTATATCTCACGACGCAGAACTTAAATAATGTAGTAAGCTCTTACTAAAACAGTAATAATAATGTTAAAAATCATTGTAGTATTTTTTTTTATAGATATAACAAACTTTAATGATATGGTGGTATTAAATACAAATAAAAGGGATAATAATAATAATAATAAGCATAACCCTTGTTGCAAATATACATAATGCTATCACTTTTATTTTAACATATCAAGCTTTCTTGACAGTATAGTGAAGCCTTTCATAGCAAAACTTTATTTTAGCCATAACGAAATTGTTATAACTAATTAATAACACAAATATCATTAACAACAATATAAGTAATGATGTGGATCACAAGTTATGTTAATCATGAGGCATGATAAACGAATAATGGAAATAACAACAACAATAACAATAACAACAGGAGCAGTGGCAGCAGCAACCACTACAAGAAAAATAACAATAACAGAAAAAGTAATGAACATAATAATAGTTTTAACAATGGTGATGATAAAAATAATGATAATAGCAGTAATAGTAATAGTAATAATAATAATAATAATAATAATAATAATAATAATAATAATAATAATAATAATAATAATAATAATAGTAACAATAATAATAATAATAATAATAATAATAATAATAATAATAATAATAATAATAATAATAATACCAACAACAATAATAACAATAACAATAATGATAATATCTATTATGATAATGATAATGATACTGATAATGAAAATGATAATGACAAAATAGTAATAACAATAATTATAATAATAATATTGATAATAACAATAATGATTATAATAATGATGATAATGATAATAATGATGATAATAATAGTTATAGCAATAATAGTAATAATGATAATAATGATAATAATAATAATAATAATAATAATAATAATAATAATAATAATAATAATAATAATAATAATAATAATAGTAATAATGATAATAATAATGATAGTAATAATAATCATAATAATAATCATCATCATAATAATAATAATGATAATGATAATAATAATAACAATAATAAAATTAATTTGTCATTACTATTACTATTACGATAACAGCATCAACATATGAACAACTATGATAAAATTGTAAATATAAAAATATAATATACTAATATGAATGGCAACAACAACAGCTGATGTCGTTATTACTAACATTAAACCTTTTTTTTGGGGGGGTTTACTTACCAACTGCACATGCGTGTACAAGCATTAATGCATTTGATACATGGTTATGGCTACAATATCACATTGCAGATTTAGGGTATAACATGAGCGTACGTTCTGATACAGTGAACAAGATAAAATAATAGCGAGATAAAATGTATGTGCCCTATACTACTATGAAAGTTAAGTAAGTTTATTTACCACCCTGGCTATCTGCTCAGGCGTTTTTGGGTGTTATTGACAAGTGATCAGCTCTTTTATAATAAAAGTCACAGATTTAATGATCAGCACAGTAAAGAAAGCCAAGTCTGAATAATAATGAAAATATTCATCCTTATACTAAAGCTAATATTGTTTTTACTACTAGGAAAACAGCAATAAAAATAGTTAACAATAATAATGATGATTATTCTAACAATAATTACGAGGTGTTTGATATTCATATTAACTGCACATTCCATAGCCTTTTCTCTTCGACCTGATGCAGTTTGTTAACAAAATCCCCACACTTTACGATTTTCTGAATTGCCGCCAATATACAGTTTCATGCATAATACCAACACAGGAAAAAAGGCAAGGTATCTCACTGTCTATCGCATATCTATTTTTTTTCTGTTGGCCATCGGTATGCGACGTTATTTGCAGGCTAAGGCTTTTGCTTACTCGTTGATTTCTTTTTCTTTTTTTTCTTTTTCGCTTTTAACCATGTGAATTATCACTGTTCTGAGCTTACTGTACACATCATAAACTTTCCCAATTTTCACCTTAGAACTCTCCATACTTCCCAGAATATATTTGATCCAATCGTACGTACCCAGAGGACGCTGCTGAGCCTACGTTCTCGTCTATAGGTGAACGTAAGGAGCTTTCAGGTCCAGTGACTACTGTCGACACATGATGCACTGTCATCTGAGGTACGTTCTGGGGGAAGTCAGGCTCCGGCTGCGTCTTGTGGCACAGGGCGTTCATTTCGTCTTCGGGAATAGGCGGACACGTGTCACTCGTGTCATATGGGTAACGAGGGGAAATCTCCTTTTCTGGCTCGCTTGCATCCGTTCCCTCCACGTGGCCGTTACCATTTGGTGTTTGGTTTGGTGAATTTTGTCCTTTTGTAAATCTTGCGAATGGAAAATCCAATGCCACGTATCCCACTGAAGGAGTTTCGCCTGAAGTTTTGGCTTTCTGATCAGATGATAATTTTGATCTGCCGTCAATCCTTGATACATAATGGTGGGGGCCTGATGCTTCATCAAACTTTTCTTTGTTACTCGACGGAGACTCTGAATTGGCACCACTCTGGTGTCTGTTGTCCTGTGTGTTTTTCGATGCAAAAGGAAAGTCTATCATCACATACCCTGTAGTCTCCGCATCAGATTCCGCTTTTTTTGTGACTGGCTCTTTCTGTGCCTTGGACTTTGCGCCTGCATCGTAGTGACGTATATCCGAAGGGAAGGTTTGTTTGTCAAAGCCTTCTGGCGGAGAAGCTACTTGGCCTGAGGAAGATGTTCGTTGTACTTTCTGCCCCACGTCTTCTTTCAATTTGTTGGAGGTTTGTGTTCCAAAAATATTTGGTGGAAAAGGAACATAACCTTTCGAATATGTGTCATGTTTATTCCCGCCCTCGTTCTTTATCAATTCACAAGAAGTTTGCATTCCAAATCCTGTAGAAACTAATCCCTGTGTATCCTTGTTTACCTGGGTTGACGGAAAAACTGCACGACCTGGAAGAGATTTCTCGTGTCCCTTCATATTCTTGAATTCTTCTGGATTTCTGTAAACACTTGAGTAAGGAGCTTTGACTTCATTTGTTGGGGTTGATGGAGTAGACGACGTGCCATTGTTTAAGGTAGAATGCTGGGGCAGGATGGCTACATATCCTGGTGATGGCTGAGCTGCAGATGTCTCTTGTATATGCTTGTGTCCCTTCATATTCTTAAATTCTTCTGGATTTCTGTAAACACTTGAGTAAGGAGCTTTGACTTCGTTTGTTGGGGTTGATGGAGTAGACGACGTGCCATCGTTTAAGGTAGAATGCTGGGGCAGGATGGCTACATATCCTGGTGATGGCTGAGCTGCAGTTGTCTCTTGTATATGATCATGTCCCTTCATATTCTTAAATTCTTCTGGATTTCTGTAAACACTTGAGTATGGAGCTTTGACTTCATTTGCTGGGGTTGATGGAGTAGACGACGTGCCATCGTTTAAGGTAGAATGCTGGGGCAGGATGGCTACATATCCTGGTGATGGCTGAGCTGCAGTTGTCTCTTGTATATGCTTGTCCACGTTCTCCTTTATATTTTTGGAGGTATCATTTCTAGAGCCCTCTAGAGGAAAAGCCGTATATCTTGTAGAAGGTGTTCTTTGTACTTGCCTTCCTCCATTCGGTGTCAGATTACTAGAGGTTTGCATTCCACAATCTGCTGATGGAGAAGCTACGTGACCTGCCAGAGATTTCTCGTCTGCCTTCACATTCGTGAATTCTTCTGGACAACTGTAAATCCTCGAATAAGGGGTTCTGACTTCATTCGTTGAGGTCGACGGAATGGCCGCCTTATTGCTGTGTAATTCAGAGTTTTGAAACAGGATGACTGAATATCCCGGCGATGGCTCAGAAATGATTCCGTAACCATCTTCACCATTCCCAGTTTTATCTCCAGTGACATCATTGGGGAACACTGGCATGACGTCACCAGGCTGAGAAATCAGAGGAGGGGTTTCTTTATCGACGTTGCTTTGGGCAAGACCTCGACCTCCAGAGAAGGGTGTCTGGAAGTACTCCTTTTCGAGGCACAACCTGAGGTGTAGCAATAGAATTAGTATTAATCACATATAAAAGTGCTTATATCTGTTTATGTAATTCAATCTATTCTAACTGTACATCGAAAAT